CTGTAAACCGCTTAGAGAGGGCTGAAAGCCCTATGAAGCGGTATATAAGTCTAACTGCTATTGCTATTGCTATTCCCCACCATCCAATCACAGCTGAAAAAGCTTGGATGAGTAGCAAAATATCTTCAAAGAAAAAACAAGAAAGTCCAGTTGCCTTTTGAAAAAAGCACTTTTGGGACATTTTTTGGCTATCCATGGTATTTTCAGGAGATTTCTCCAACTCCAGAGTTCAAAAGCATCAATACTTTTTCTACTCTTCCTTGTCCAGATTTCACTTCCATAGAGTGTCACACGGAAAATTATTCCTTGCACTATTCTGATATTTGTAGATATACTCCTCAACTTACATTTAGTGACCATTCAAAGTGACACAGCACTGAAAAAAGTGATTTATGACCATTTTTGACTCAAACATACATGTAGATTGGATAGACGCCTGCAGTGGAATGTTAAGTTACAATAAAGACATAGGAATGCTTTGTTTTATTATAATAAACACTTGTTTTATTTTTTTGCTTTGGGCAAAGGCAAAATTGATGTGTCCCAGCTGAACCAGATTTACAGCAGCCACCTGAATTCTCAAAAAAGTGACAGCAAGCTAAGTGAACAAGAACTCTGGGAAGGCTTGCAGAGTCTCTGGCAGGTAGTCCATTAAACCTCATTATTCCCATATCGTAAGAATTCTCTTAAGCATCCATAACTCAGTCATTTGAACAAGAGGGAGAGGAACAGGAATGAATATTCTTGGGTCTTCACATTGGATCATTGACTTGGATTCTTTGCAATGACGTTAGAGAAATCATTAATATTTCTCGAAAAACTCAGGACTCGGATAATGGTAGGCAGTTGTAATGAATAGTGCTGTGTGCAATGAACCATGAATGCTTGCCTCTCTGGGATAAGTTGAAGCACGACTTATTTTTTTAATAAAAGCATGACCAAAATAATCAAACAGATCCAGCATTTCTGCATAGGTTGAATAGCAGATATTCAAAATGTCTGCTTTATTTGCTGCCACCTGTTTCTGATTTATTATAAGTGAGAAGACATATCGAAGATTAATTGTATGCCTTATCTCAGTGGTTCCCAAACTTGGCAACTTTAAGACTTGTGGACTTCAACTCCCAGAATTCTCCAGCCAGCAGAAGTCCACAAGTCTTAAAGTTGCCAAGTTTGGGAACCATTGCTTTATTTGATGGAGTTTCCCAACCACACAGAAAATCAACCAGCATGACTCAAACTCATATATCTCACTTAATAATGTCTAATAAATGGTCTGTAATCATGTTAGAAATGCAGCTTTGAAATTCATTTGTTAGCTCAGATCAGGTTAAAAATAAATTCCCATATTCAGTACATATAGAAATGCTGGTTGCCTGGTCTGCAGCAAAACCAGAAGTGGTTGTAATATGGGGGGGGGAGGGGAAACTGAACCTGGCAAATAACATTTTAGTTTTCCTGTGTTCAATTAAACCACATTAATAAAAAGATGGTAGAATAATTTATCATCTTGATTGCGTGT